CTTGGTGTAGGGCATTTGGACCATGTTATCTGCATAAAACAAGATGTTTGCACTTTTGTCTTTAACTTTTGGCACGTCAGGATATCAATGTAACAGCATAGGCGCCAATATGCACTGCTAATTGACTCTTTCAGAGCTGCACATTTTTCCAGTTAAGGAATAATTCATACCAGTACAAAACCTTAGATGGGAATTTGAATATAAGTAAAATAAAGTGATTTTCTAGATATACATGTTGGAAAATGGATTCCTGCAATTGAAAAGAGTTCTGTAATCACGGTAGAAAGTGAGGCAACATACTGTTTTAATTTATTGCAATAGTCCAAAGCAATATCATGTCCCTACTTGGCATGCCTTCCTGTTTAAATCTCTGAACTGGAGAAAAAAGATTAAAAGGCATGTATCAGTAGTGAGCCATGCTCAACTGTTGGCCTCCCAGTAACCAGTCAAGCAACCCAGATATTGATACAGGTTTACCTATATGGCTTTGGTTAGTCCACAATATGCCCATCTTTCCACCAACTCTTGAGTTGCTCCCAATCAAACATTAAAAGACATATAAAATCACACTTAATCATACTAATGTTTTAAATTCATTTAATACATTTCATCTATCTTTATCTTTTTTTAAAGAATCTCTGTTTATTTACTAAATGAATAAATTACAGTCACCTTTATTTATTTAGCGTATGGCAAATGCATGGACTTATAGTGGTTCAAATGTTAATGTCCAGTCCACCCAGCCATTCAAGGACAGGGTCGTCTATTGATCCATTCAAGGGCAGTCATTTAATGTGAAGCCACTGCATTGATATTAAAATAAGCAAAACAAGGCATGGAAAATTGGGAACAGTAGTCAGAACCACATATGGTAGCCACCTAGGGGATTTGTAAACATCCCATTTACTTAGCTCATCAGAGTTGGATAGGCCTTTCAACTAGCAAGCCACAGTATGTGGTTAGCGGGCAGCATTCATTTCAGTGGGATGCAAATGGTAATGCCTGCCTTTTCACTTGTTTGTGCAGAGTAGAGTTGAAAAACCACATATTCTGTTGTTATGGCTTTGTACATATTAGCTGCAGGTATATGCAACTAAAATTATTTGGAGTCAAGAATTAAAAGCTATAAGACACTCTTTTTCCCAGGCCAGAAATCAAAATGGACTTTTAGTGGCATCCTGGACTCTCCTATGTCTGTGGAACCATGGCAAAAAACATCAGGAAGTAAAGGCTCTGGTGTTAGATTGCATCTGAAAAGACCCAGGTTCAAGCCCTGATCAGTTTCAAAACTTTCTGGATAACTTTGCTTTGGGCATTTTCTCTCAGTTCAACTTAGCTCAGAAAATGGTTATAAGAAAAACATTAGGTGAAGCTGTCATTGGTATTGCACTGAGAAAAGTCTAGAGATGTATGTGATTTATATACTATGTTGACACAAGGCAACATATATGCAAAAAATAAATGCATGCAAAAATACAGTAATAAGGAAATGAAAATATGGGCAAAGTGAAGGAAAATTATGTACAATTTAATGATGTTTAAGTTTAAATATAATAAAAATACATCAGTTTAGTATTGATAATAGGATGACTGCCCATGTCTTCCAATTTGGTCTCATTAAAAGTTACACTGCAGTGACCATATTTGGAAGGCTCTGAGGGATACATCTAGGATCCGAAAACCATGTAGATTTGGACCCAGCTTCTTTTTTCTTTCTCTACAATTCAAGTGTAACTCATCTTGTGGCTATCCTATCAAAAGTGGGTGGGTACTCTTGCAGCAAATTCAAAAGAAAGAGAGGGAATGAGTCAGATCTCTTTTAGGTCTAATTCAGCAGGGCCTGCAGCTGTAGCTTCCCTTTTCTACTTTCATAGCTTACTTTACCTATCTATAAGAATGAGTGGATATGTTTGTACTGCTGGGGGGAATAAGGTACCTAATACAATTTTAATAAAACTAAGTTGAATATAGGCATTGTTGTATTGAGATTTTAGTTGGCAAGATTTCTTGAATGGTGGCTGATCCATTTAGTCAAACAGAGTTAGGCACAGAGACCCACAGGCAATTTATCTTTTTGTCTTTAATGTACTCCATGAGGCTAACTGAGAAATAAATAAGTTGAGTAAAAAGAGAGCTTTTATTTTAAGCATATATGTCTTTGAATAAAAATTTGAAATCAAAGGGTGAGTTGCATGTTAAGAGCTACATTTTTAAAAATATTAACTGTAACTAGAAGACATTTTAATTGTTTTCTCTCCACCAGAAATTAGCTTTATTAAATTGTTTAATTCAATAGTCTCCAATAGCAGTTAAATTAAATATTCCTTTTTGTAAAATATTTGCTGTTCAGCTACTATCCTAATAACGATGGTGCCAGAACAAACTTAATTCATGCCAAAGCACCATTTTACTACTGTGAAATGTTTTCATGGAACAGGCATGCTGAAAGTTTCCATTCCCTATGTGATCATTTCAACAAAAGATAATGGACAACAGGGTTAAAGCAGGTATAAAACTTGAATTATTTTCTCTCTCCATATAGCTAGTATTAGGAGGCTATATGTTTGTATCATAGACCAAACACGCAGTAATACAGAGGCTTAAAAATAAGCATTCAATTATTTTTTATAATAGTTTTCTTCAGGTAGAGTCCAGCTAAAGATCTTGAAATACTAGAAACTTCATTAGCAAATGATGACTGGTTTTAAAACTTCAATAGAAATCAGAGTCACAGTTTAATATCCCATACATTGTTTTCAGGCTAATAAATTGCAGTTATTCTGAAACATTTAAAACAATACCTATTCCATTAGACTAGAACTAATCCTGCTTGTGCCGTGACAAACAGCTCTCCCTTATCTAGGGACTGAAGGGTTGTGACATACATCTTTCCCTCCTCCAATTTACCAGTCAAACATAGGTTGCCTCTAGAGTCTAGAGGAACAGAGGAATTTTTCCCATGGAAAATCATATTACATATGACTGATCTCACAAAAAATGCACCCTGGCTAATACATTTGTTTGATTAATTGGCTATATAGATCAGGTGACCCAAAGCTGAAGGATTACTCAGAGATGCCTGCTGAATCTGTCTTTTGTCAAAAAGGCAAAATTTGCATCATGATGTCGTAATGCCTCTTACATATAAATATGATATCACAATGCAAGTACAAAAGGGGCAGGCTTTGTGTCCTGATGTTGCAACAAACATTTCATTATTTGGTCCTCAAGAATATGAAAGAGAGAGAAAAAGAGAGAGGCAGGCTCTTCAAAGGCCATGTCTTTATACTTTCATTATATTAAATAATCTTCAAAAAAAGTCCTGCAAAATCTTTTTTTAACATTTGTTTGAAATTAGTTTTCTAAGCCTCTTGAACTAAAGCTAACATTGGTTAAAATTGAAAAGTTATCCCAAATAGTATATTTCCAAAGAACATTAGCACGATTCTACTCAGATGTGCATTTAGCCTTGCCTCTATGTCAGGACTGTCAAATGCCCGGCCTGCAGGCCGGATGCATCATGTGCTAGGCATGCCCACACTCGGTTTAGCAAAGGAAAAAAGTCCCGATATATCACGTGATGCCACCGTGATGACGTGAATTTGACACCCTTACTCTACAGTATGTCATTCAGTTCCTACTGTATCTCATGTGACAAGAATAGACTTGTCAGGAAAATAAAGCAATCTCTCTATGCAATACTATTTTTAAAGAAGATTCCACAGAAAAATGTATGCTATTTTATCTCCTTGTTATTTTTTAAATAAATTTTGTAATTTACTTAAAAGCTACAAATGAGAATAAAGAGGTAACATAAAACAGAAAATACGAATACAATTCAAATAAGGTTATCAATAAATATGACTAGCTAAGCCAAAACAATATTTTATATTAAATATGGAAAGAATAAAATAAAAATAGAAAAAATAAAAATAAAAGACATTGTCTATAATACAAATATGGTCATATCTTAATGCCAATTACTGCATATAAATTGTAGCACACACACCTAAAATAAGAGGGTTGAAATATCCAATAATACAAAAATGGTCTTAATTATCTAAAATCTTGCCTGAAGAACCTACTTCTGTTACTTTATTGCCCATGACAAGACTGAAAGAATACCACAGGCTTGCTAAGGCCCATCCACTGTATTTTTACAACATTTGAACCTCAGTAGGGCAAAACCAGAGGTATCTGACTTCCCTACCTTCGTCTCACATCATAATAGGTTTTTGAAGTATTCCTCATCATTTTCTCTGTGGAAAATATCGAGAACAGGTACAGCTGAAGATGTCCTGTTTTGAATTCTAACTCGTTTCATGTGTTAGCCTGTTTTAAGATTACAATACTTTCATTTCTAAAATGTAGTTTTAGAACCCATATTTTTTCAATAGCCATATCTACCAGGAACCACAGTCATTTCAGTTCTGTCTTTCTTGCTTGAAAACAAATGCTTTGTTTAATTCTCTATATTGTATCAAAATGTTCTTAACATTTGGGGCTATTCTGCAATGTTTCTTCCCCATTTACCAATACAAAATGAATACTATAGTTCCAGGTAATTTTAACTTGGGTAGCTTCTAAGCCAGAATGATCAAGTGGTTTTGGTCTGATTCTAAAAATGAATTAGAATCATCAGTAACTCTATAGTTAAATAAATTTAGATGTAACCATAAATCACAACTAGCTTTATCAGAGAAAGAGGCAGAGAAACAGAGAGGGGCGAGACCACAAATTGTAGTTTGGCTGTTGGGACACTTAGACCATACTTTTTAAGGTAAAAAAGTAGTATGTTAAGGCATTGTGAGCCATAGAAATTAAGCCATTTTTAAAAAAGCAGTGTGAACCAATTTTATAGTACTTGAAAAAGGTAAACATAAATGTAAAGCTTCCATACGTAAATGTTTAATATGTGTATAGACCATATAATATCTGTTAATCTTGAAGCTGTTGCCTCATTTTTCCATACTTTCCTTCTCCTTCCTGCTCCCCCAAAGAAGAAGAAGAAGAGGAAGAAGAAACAGTCAAAGGTCCCATGGCTGATGACCCCAAACCTGAGGCTCCCCTTGATGAGAAGTATGAGAAAAGGAGTGAGCCTGCTGAGCCTTTGGAACAAACAGAGGGTTTCTCAGAGGCCCAGCAGGATTCCCTTCCTGAAGATCAAGTGGATCACAATGAGGAAAATATAATCCTCATTGGAAAGGAAACCTCAAAAGCAAAACTACCTTCCTCCGGTGAGGAAGGTATGCCTGCATTAGGGACCTGCATGTCTTGGCTGCATAGGAGCTGCTCTTCAGTTTTCTCCCCATTCTCTCATTGGCTTTTCTTCCCATTGATTTGTCCTCATGGTTAATGCTCTTGTTATTATGCTTGAAGAGTGTGCACATGGCAAGCCAAAGGCTGTATGATGACATGGTTTCCCACCACTGCAGTAGATTCCTGACTTTTTAAGGGAGTGTTTTTTACTCATGATACCATTTGCAGTGCAGCCAACCTGATATGCCATCCCTTGTCCCTCCTCGTTGCAGATGTGTTTGCCAGTCACATTGCTGATATTTGTGTCTTTATATATATTTCATTTCATTTTGGTATGGAGATTCATCTGTTTTTCATTTCAAGAAGCAAACTGATTAACCCTGACTATGGCGTAAAATGCTTACTTTGTAAAGTTCGTTTGTGCTGTGCAATCTACTTTTGCTTATGCTTCAATACATTCTGCCTCAATTTCCCTAAGGCTATTGCTGCTTATATCATATCTTTACCATTCATTGCAGCCCACCATAACACTTGTTTGCCATTGCCAGGATTTTGAGTTTGCATCTGTTTTATCCTTCTTTCCAGCTGTTTATCTGAGTGGAAGTCCCAGTGTGAGAAGAAAATTCACATGAATCACATTGGATATTATAGTGAAGGACTAAATATAAAGCTCATAAATTTTCACTGACTTATATTGCTTATTCTTAATAAACCAGATTAAATGTGGTCTAGATATATACTCACATTTCTCTGCACATAATAACACAAGCCTTTGAACAAATAATTGTGCACTGGTTAAATCTAATTTTCATTCAAGGAATATTTGTGGGAAGTCTAGTTAAGGTTCTCGTAGCTGAAGTCTGAACATATATCACAACAGCTGCAACTGTTACAGGATTAACTTTGCTTCTTACTTCACTAAGGATTCATCATCCCTTGACTATATCAACAAACAGGTAAACCAAGCTAGTTGTGATAGGGAACATACATGAGCATAATCTCAAGTAATGAGAATTTTGTGATCAGAATAGTTTAGTTTGGGATTCCAGCACTGGAAAGGATTAATGTTCTCTTCTTCCACATGACTTTTCCTTATTTACATTTTCCCTCCATAGGTATTTGACCCCTTAGTTTACTGTTAACAATTTTTTTTTTTAAAAAATGAAAGATTCTAGTCATTGATGAATCTTCACATCATTTGTGTCAAAAGTGACTTATCTAATGAAACATACAGTAAAATAATTGAAAGTAAGTTATTTTACTGAGTCACTAGTTAAGACAGAGAGGAAGTGTAGGAATGACATTCATTTTCATATGCATTAAATGAATTTAGTTAATTCATTTATTCCCTTAAATCAAGGGATAATTTGAAATTAATTGTCAAAGATGATAGATTCCCATGCAGACTTGGTAAACTTGAAAACAGACTAGCTTATCTTTGTGAGTCCATTCAATAGAATATTTTTGAGCCAAAACTAATTTGCCACATTCACTGATATGATCTAAATTGTTTGTAATTTTCCTAGGAAAGAATTAATGGTTGGAATGAGGTGTAGTATAATGTTCATTGAAAAATCTATCTTTAATGAAAGGTATAATAATAAAAAATAGGAAATAGGATAACAAAAAATTGGACTACCCAGTGACTATCATATGTTTACAACATTGTGTAAGACTATGGTGGGTGTTTACACAAAGAGAAAGGGGGAGGGAGGGAGAGAGAGAGAGAGAGAGAGAGATGAACTTAACAAAACACTTGAAGTAATTCAAACACAGGCCTAGCTTTTGGGGTCATTACAAACCAAGCAGAACCTTGAAAATTAAGATAGGAGGCTGACACTTTGCTACATGTCATCTTGTCTCTCACTCTCAGTCTAATGCATGTATTTTAATTTGGAAAAAGGAATTGGCAAACATGAAGAATGCCCATCTGGCACAAGTTCTCTGGGTTTTTAGTTACGAATCTTTCCCAGCTCTATCTGCAGGAGACAGAGATTGATCTTGGGATATTTTGGATGCTGAATTTTCATCTTGGAAGCAATGAAGTCTATGGGAAATGTAAATAATAAAGATCCAATGCTTTTTTCCTACTATGTGTTTTGGGGTCACAGAAATGCCCTGTGCAGAGCATTTGAAAGAGCATATTTGAATACATCAATGCAAGAAAAGCACTGTCCTTTGGAACAGCTGTGTCCCCTGGAAAGCTATCATGGCTGCTTTGAAGGCTGTCCCTAGATGTTTCTACCTTCATATGCCTACACAGCTGTTTTTCCTTAGCAGCCCTAACAGATGTACTTTAGGTGCAGAGAACTAGAGACACCTGTTGAAGCAATCATGACAGCTTCCCAAATGATGCAACTACTATACTTTAATCTTTGCTTCAAGGAAGGGTACTTTATTTGCACAGCATACTTTATGAATTAGTTCTTTATGAATGCTTTGCTCAGGCATTCCATCTATTATTATTTAATCATAGATTTCTAAAAAAAAATTTTCTAAGGCAGAAATTGTTTCCCATTATGGAAGATTCAAAACAAAGCAAGCAAAAATGTTTTTCTGTTTCCAGGCAATATATGTATGCCTTTTCTTAGTCCTTTGTAGAACTGTCCATCCACTAGCTAAAAAGTAGGCAGACACTTCCTTTCCAACCAAAAGCAATATATTTTTGTTTTGAAGCTCAGCTTCCAAAGGGATAAGAAGCTGCCTATCTTTTTTTTAAATAACTGTTGGGAATCTAGGCATTATGATTCATCAGGGAGCTGATCTGTTTCCTCCACCACCTTATAAAATCCACAGAAATTAATGGGTTTTACTATACAGATGAAGCAATAGTTCTTCACATAGCACACCATTTTCATTTTCACAGTCATTGATTCTAACTGCATTTTTAAAAATTAAATTTGTTCATTGAGGATAGATTGTTCAAGGACTATTACAATACAGTAGTCAAAACTGCCAGACTTAAAGATGGTTCATGGTTCATCATCACACTTCCAGAGGTATCTAGTCAATCATTGTTGGAGGCAGAATTCTGGACTGGACATTGCTTTCCATCAAGCCATTTATCTCAGGTGTTCATCAGCTAGAAGAAGCATTTTTTTCAGTTCTGACCCAGGAGGCTACTCTGCATATGGAAGCCAATTTCCCAGTGTGAAACTGATTATATTGTGTGGCTTTAAACTGCTTTATTTCACTGCTTTCAGAATGCTTTCAGAATGCTGTTTATTATTGGAGTTCTTTATCCTGAGTCTGAGGAGGTTACAAAACTATTAAAGAATTCCAGTGTTGCGAAATGCAATTTCTCTGGGAAATAAATCAAGGGCAGAAGATTACATTAGAAATACGAGAAATCCTTCCATTTGTGGTAGTGTTTTTCCTCCAGTTTCCTCCTTTTAGAAAAGTCATTTCCAATATCTTGCTGCTCAGATGTATTGGACAACAACTCCTATATATTTCACAAACCCATACTTCCTAACCAGTTTTGCAAATGGAAAAGTTCATTGAAAAGGATGCTACTAACATTTATATGTTTTGCAGCCCAATTCAGATGCCTCACTGATCCCTGGGCTTGCCAGTAATTCTGGAGAAATGTGCACATTTTTAATTCTTTCAAAATAAATATGCTTTTTGCTGCATACGGAGCTGAAATGGTTCCTACTGAAATAATTAAGAATTCAATGCCAAAGTCAGATCTGGTCTTTAAATATATATAAATGGATAGCCATTATCCACCCTGATGTGTGTGTCTGTGTGTATCTGTGTGTATTGTACATACATACAGACACATACACACACACACACAGCCCCAATAATTGATTTGGGAGAACTTCATAAAATGTTTTGGAAAAGTGCTATTATATAAATTAGGGTTACGTTTGCTTCAAAAATGATTTGGAATTACTGTTTTATACCTCACTCAAGTGCAAATACAATGCCTATTCATTAAAACACAGTTGCCTTTTTTCAGTATACCATTTGAGCCCCCCAAAAAGATGTGGTTACTACTATAAATACTTTTAAAGATGCACGTCTTTAAGAACTTGATTTATTAAGATTAATTTATATTTTCTTCAGGTGTCATGAAAGTCCAAGAAAAGATATGCATGCTTGAATGAATAGCAGTGAGGTATTGTCCTTGGGGTTGAGAGAAGTATGGAACACTTCTTCTGAGTCACTGTCAAAGCCTGCAACAGTCATATAATAAATGTTAATGTGTAATATACACAAAGATTAATAATTGAATTCTATTATTTTAAAATGTTAAATATTCAGTCTCGGCTTTTCAGCAATGTTTCAGAGTTGCAGTACAGTGATTTTGTATGAAACAGTTGTAGGTATAAACATTCTATCATAATCCTGTGTTTTTCAAGAATAGTTTTATGATACTAGAATTTTTTAAAAATGTATTTAAAAAGCAGTCCCCTCATTCCCCAATTTGTGTGAAAAGTTGATTGGTATATCCATTTCAGTTGTACCATGATTTGGCCAGAATCAGACAAAAGGAATAATGTCATTAAATGGATATAGGACTTTGAATTTTAAATACAGCACATAAATGCATTCACACATACACACATGTATGTATATTCATACATATGTGTATATTCATATTTGTTATATTCCAGAATCTTATCTCAACTTCATTGCATGATAAAGTTTTCTAAGGTGAAGTTGGATTTATTTTAAATCTAATAATTGTTACAAATATAACAAAATACAGCTAGGTTTATCAATCTAAGATTATTAATAGTGCACTGAGAGAGTAAAACAATAATAAAGTAAACAGATCTCTAATTAGTTTTTCTAGTTGCATGTAGCCATATTTTTATGACTTTGCCATGCCACATTATGCTATAAACTACTTTTATAAATGCTTTCTGTAAACTGTTCTAAAATCCAGTGCAACAACTACAGATTTACTTTCAGCCTCGAAGATGGAAATCCATGGACAGGAAGATACGAGCCTTTTCGCAGCTACACCCTTGAGCACCAAGGAAGAAGAGAAAGGAAGTAAACCCAGTGAGCACCCCGTCCAAGATGCCTTAGTTCCACAGCCAGCAAAAACAGAGACTATAGAAATGAGAGAACCACAGCTCACAGGAGAAGAGATGGCATTCCCATCTCGGTTGGGAGAAACTTTGGATGCAACTCTGCAAAAGAAAGAAGAGAAGGCTTCCACACCTCAAGAGCAAAGAGTTTTGTCAACAGAGTTGCATAAGAAAAGTACACTAGATGAAAAGGCCACAGAGACCCAGAAACTTGCAACAGAAGCATCACCCTTGGAATCTAAAGATGATCAGATGACTATTATAAAAAATGACTTTACTTCTCCTGCAAGCATTGGTTCTTCTTTGCCCTCAGAACCTATAGTGGACATAGGCACAGTAACAAGTGCCTTTTTTCCTGAAACCTTACCAGGTGTTCCACATACGTCTGTACCAGAAGAGAGTAGCAAAACAACACAAAAGTCTGCTATTACAGAGATTACCAAAGACCTTTCAAAAGATCAAACAATGAACAAAGAGCACATAAAAATACAGGAAGAAGATTTTGCAGTGGTGGCTACAAGTGCCTCACAAGCCAATGTAGAACAAACTCCAAGTCAAATTCCCCTTTGGGAAGAAGAGAAAGATATGACTGAGGATGAAAGTGATGAAGAGAGGTACGCCATGTCCAGTAGACAGAGGCTCAAAGAATTGGATGATCAATCTTTTGCTGTGCGTGACCAAAAACCAACCGTTCTGGATAAAGAAGTTATGGGAAAAGACATTGACCCTAAAGAAGCATATGATGCACCCAAAGCAGAAGATTTGGGGATACCTGGGGAATCAACAACATGGAATATTAAAGAAGATGACAAAACATATGGTGCTGAGGTCATGGCAGACCGATTCAGTAAAGATTTTTTTCCTGAAAAATATGAAGAGCATTTGGATACCGCTGCATTACATGAAACAATAGAGAAAGCTCCATCTGAAACACATAAAGAACCCCAGGAAGACAAATGTTCTGAAAAAGAAGGGAAAGGTAAAGTGTTTCCTGTTACAGATTCAGATCCCCACCAGATGAGGATAGAAGAAGATAAATCAGGTATGTCTACATATTTTGAAACTTCCACTCTTAAAGATGAAGTTATCAAGAGTGATAAAGTACAGCAAGGCAATGATTACTATGAACTGAGTGATTCAAAAGACCAGATTTATGATATTTACCATAAAAATTCCCTTGTATCTAAAAAGGAGACTGATGACTATCAGCCAGAAGCACACCAACAGCCCAGTCCACCTGCTCATCAAATTGGATACAGTACCCTTGCCCAGAGTTTCCCAGAAGATGATGCTAAGGAACCTAGCTCTCCTCCAGAAAGAATGTATACTATTGATCCAAATGTGTATGGAGATAAGAGAGAACTCCACAATAAAAATAAAGATGACTTAACTCTCAGCAGGAGCCTAGGGCTTGGTGGAAGATCCGCTATAGAACAGAGAAGTATGTCAATTAATCTCCCAATGTCCTGCTTAGATTCTATAGCACTGGGATTTAACTTTGGACGTGCTCATGATCTTTCACCTTTAGGTTCAGATATTTTAGATACGGGTAGTGGAGATGAAGGTGATGATTACTTGCCCGCCACCACCCCAGGAATAGAAAAAGCTCCCCCCTTCCCAACAGAAAGTAGGGAAGAAGAAGAAGAAGCAGAAGCAGCAGAAGAAGAAGTAGAAGAAGAAGCAGAAGAAGAGAGGATAGAAGAGTCCAAATTTAAAGAGTCAGGAGAGATTCAGGTGGAGCCTTTATATGAATCGCCTTTCCTAGCTAAAGATTATTACAAAAATGGAACAGTAATGGCTCCTGACTTACCTGAAATGTTAGATTTAGCTGGCACAAGGTCAAGAGTAGCATCTGTGAGTGCAGATACAGAGGTAGCACAATGGAAATCTGTTCCTTCAGAGGTGGTTGTTGAGGACAGCTCTGCAGTTCAGCAGTTTATGACTGATGAAAATCACATGACTCTAAAAGCTGACAGTCAAATAGAAGATTTAGGCTACTGTGTTTTCAACAAATACACAGTACCATTACCGTCTCCAGTTCAGGACAGTGAGAATTTGGCAGGAGAAAGCTCCTCTTATGAGGAGAAAATGAGGAGAGGTGTAGTTACAGATCTCTCATTGATAGAAGTAAAGTTGGCAGCAGCTGAGAGATCCTGTGAAGAAAAAGAGGTCTCTGAGGACTCCACAGTTTGGGGCCAGGACTTTGAACAAGAGAGAAAAGCTATTGATAAATTAGATACTGTGTTAGAAAAAAGTGAGGAACAAGCTGATGCTAAAGAAGTATCTTTTCCTGAAGATACTGAACATGAAATAAAGCTTGGTTCAGAGCTAGTAGATGTTAATGATAAAACTCTAGTTGAGCCAGAAAAAAATTCTTCATTAATTAAGAAAGAGGAAAATGCTATTCATGTTGCTGCAAATATAGATAAGGCAGAATTGTCCTGCAAACCAGACTATGATGCTATAAAACATGATATGGATTCTGCTGCTCGGCAAGTAGAACAGGAGTATCAGAGTAAATTAGGAGGTCATATCACGGAATTAGTTTCAGAGCAGGATAAAGAAGATCCAGAGAAGATCCTCTTTACATTACATCAAGAACCTGATCTATGTGCAAAATTAGAAACTGATCATATGAAAGATACAACTAAACTGTCTGAAATTGAAATTAAGGAAAAAGGCCCTAAGCCTGATCTGGTGCACCAAGAAGCAGTAGATAAAGAAGAATCGTATGAATCAAGTGGAGATAATGGTCAAGTGCAAGAGGGATTGTCTGGAGAAATTTCAAAGCCACACGAGGACAAAATACAACGAGAAAGCCCATCTTTGCCAGAGGAAGAACAGGCAGCACATTTTCCATCAGGACAATCTGCTACAGAAAAAAGTATATCGAAAGTTATTCAAGAAGAAACAACAGAAACTCAAATGGAGAGCATAATAGAGCATAAAGTAGATCAGGTAGATAATGTGGCGATAACTGGCACTGAGAATGTTGAAAAGTTACCCCATGATTTAAAATATGAGAAAGAAAAAGAAAAAGTGGAAGAAGAACAAAAGGAAGAGATTAAGCAAATAGAAGAACAAAAGGGAGAGATTAAGCAAATAGAAGAACAAGAGGAAGAAGAAAAACAAACAAAAGAGGAAATCAAGCACAGGGAAGAACATGAAAAAGAGATTAAAAATGTAGAACAACATGAAGACATTAAACCTGTGAAACAAGATGAAGTAGAGATTAAGAAAGATGAATATGAAGAAAAGATTAAGCAAAAAGAAGAGGAAGAGATCAAGCAAGCAGAAGGACCAGAGGAGGAAAAAGATCAAGAAGAGGAAACCAGTAAGCAAACGAGTAAAGAAGAGGACTTGGAGAGACCCAGTGAAGAAGTATGTAAAGCTATCCCTGTGGAGATACCTGAGCTTAAAGGAGTAATAGAATCTGTTGTTACAGTTGAGGATGATTTCATTACAATTGTACAGACAACCATTGATGAAGGAGAAGCCAATTCCCACAGTGTTCGCTTTGCTGAAACTGCACAGGCTGAAACAGGCGGAGAAGCTTTCTGTACTGAAAAGCTGGATATGGAGGCAGAGATTATTGCTCATGTTGAAGCAGACTCAGAAGAAAAGTCTTCGGAACCTCCTGGATCAGCTGAACAGGAAGAAATCCCAGGAACTGATTACAAGACAGAAATATATGACGATTATAAAGATGAAACAACGATTGATGACTCCGTCCTGGATACCGACAGCATATGGGTGGATACACAAGGTGTGCCTTATGCTTTTTCATTCATTCATTCATTTTGCTTTTGATATACTATATTAACAATTAAAAATAATTAATGATAGTGCAGTCATGAATGTTATTAAAATAATGCAAGCATGAATCAACCAAAATTGTTTAAAAGATTATATCCCAGCAAAGTGCAAATAACTAATCCTGTTTTTGTTATAATTTACTCTGATCCTGCAGATGATGATAGGAGCATCATGACAGAACAGTTAGACACTGTTCCTAAAGAGGAGAAATCAGAGAGAGAATTGCGGAGACCATCTCTTGATAAACATAAAAAAGAAAAGCCTTTAAAAACTGGGAGAGGCAGGATTTCTACTCCTGAAAGAAAAATAGCTAAAAAGGAACCTAGCACAGTCTCCAGAGATGAAGTGAGAAGGAAAAAAGGTTTATATAATACTTGCTCTTTTTCCTTTTATGCTGTACTGTGGGTTGCTCATCTGTATACTTTTTCATTAAGGACATACATTTGTGCTAACAGTATGACATACGGTCCATACTACTTCCATCGCTTCACTTTTATGCTGGTGGTAACAGCAAATAAACGTACCAATAGAAATTCATCTTCTAAGATTCATTAATATTGTCAGCATGATATTATCTACCTTAATAATATTGGTGCTGAGTATCCACGTAGCAGTATTTCTACCTCATTAATTATCACGGCTTCCACGTGAGTACTCTCAATTCTAATCTTTACTAAAAAAAAGAGAGAAAGAGTTGTCAGTAGGTATCCAGAAGACTTCATTTAATTTGAATCAAGGTAAATGTCCAACTCTCTGAATCAAACCGTATTAGTCAAACCACAGCTAGGTTGGGAGCCTTCAAAACTGAATGTCTCACAAGGATCTCCTTGTACTTAATGTACATCGGTGCTCCTTTCTTTCCATAGCTTCATACATTGCCCGGCATTGAGGCTATCTGAGATGTTCAGACAAGGGAATGGATCAGAATGACACAGGGGTACAGATTGGAATAGAAAGAATTTGCTTTCCCACTCTATTAAAATAATATATGCATTTTCAATAAAATTGTGTAATTTTGGAAAGGATGTGTATTGATAGGATGACAGAATTGCTGAAAGCAGTAAGATCTTAAATATAGATCATGTGGGCATTGGTAACTCAAGTCAGAGTTAAATGGCTAAATTGGCACCAGCAGCCAATATGTTGATTTGTTGAAATATATTTCTACTTACAATTTTTTTATTTCTGATTGTATGCTCTTGTTTTCTTGTCTATAGCTGTGTATAAGAAAGCTGAACTTTCTAAAAAAGCTGAAGTTCAGGCTCACTCTCCCTCCAGGAAAATCATTTTAAAACCTGCTATCAAACATACTAGACCAACTCATCACTCCTGTGTTAAGCGGAAGCAGACAGGTGACTGTGCTGTCTTGAATTTATGCAATGTGGCTGGCAAACATAGACATTACTATTCTCATTATTATTATTTGTAATCTCATTGCTCTATTGGCTGCTCTAATTTTGATTTCAATTTTTTTCCTCTCTAAGAGTTTTTCAGCTCTCATGAATGATACTGCTTTTTTTTGTATCATACTCTTTTCATTTATTATTATTCGGAGGCCATGATCATGAATGCTTACCATGCTTGGACTTCCCAAGTTCTGTAGCTGTTTATTGTTGATAATAGTGTTGTATAAATCTCTCTATTTTGCTTTGTTTTGTTTTTCATTTTTGCTCTGTTCTGGTGGGAAAGTGCAAATGGCTTTGAACCATGTTTTACATTTTTCCTTTATTCTTTTACTATTTTTCTTCTCATGCATAATAATAATTGCGACATTATTCCACTTTGTATTTATATTGTGTACCATAACTGTCAAATTGATGGCTGATTTGTTTGCTAAAATTGTTATGTATTAAAGCACGGAATCTGAGCTATTTTTGAACAGAAAACTTTCCTGAATATGAATATTTGCTTACAGTGAAAAACGTAGAAAATACAGGAAAAGAAAATGAGGGACTACTTGCAGCTAATTATACATCTATAGTAATTTAGGAGATATAAGCTTTTGGAGTTGAAGAGATTAATATAAATAATTCACAAGGAACAACATTTGTGCAAATACTTTTCAGGACAGATTTGCACACTTGTCAATAATTGTACTTGGTTGACCATGCAAAAATTGATTGAAATATGCATCTTATAATTACATATTTGGTTATGTATGCTTTTTATTGCAATCAAAGGAGAGATAACTAAATACTACCCTTGATTTCTTTATTTTATATACAGAATTACAATGCACATGAGATAATGTTACTAATTCCAGGAAAATATTTTTCCTGACAATTCCAAAATATTTCTCGTTTAGTGTGTCTGTGGATATAAGGTTATAAAACCGGAGTGCCAATCCATAATTTATAGATGAAAAGAATCTTGTTAACTGGTTATATTCATGCATCTCCAATCTAATGCTAAATAATAATTCATTCCCCATTTCCTTTATTGACAAAAAGCTATATTTTATAAAATTACAGTACAAATTTGTCCTTACTGGACCTTCTGTACAACTCAACCATATATTATCAACTATTGTATTGCAGAACTTTTTGTGACTAATGCATATTTCTCTTCATTGAAGAGGTTGATAGTACATTATATATAATTCAGATATGTAAATGACAATGTCTGGATTACAATAACTGTAGGCCTTGACTCTTGGGGTTTCATTTAGGTTGTATATTTTCTTAAAACTATTGGTAGTTTCTATCCTGAAATCATGATAGATTAAACAGGCAAACCTAAATATTTTTTAAAAATTGCATCTGCCTTCTTTCTTCAAACTTCCAAGAAGTTCTCTGTTATAGGGGTCCCCAACCTGTGGGGCGTGGCCTATTCGCAACTGGGCCATGTGAATGGTAGGCCGGTGCACTCACAACCCCACTCACAGCCCATCCCTCACACAAATGAAGCTGTGCACACGCCTGTATGCCCGCTTGCCCCTTGCACAAAACCTTCTCCCATGCCTTCTCACCAACCCGGAAAGGTTGGGGAATGCTGCTCTATAAGAAGCATCCTGGCTCCCTATGTAAAAACAAAAGAAGACTCCTTTTTCTTTAAAAGACTTTTGCATTGTCTTGTTGTCTTTAAAGAAGATGGTAGTGGGCAATGAATGCCTTTTTTTCCTACTTTGGTGTAAGGTACATAGGTTTCTGTATCCAAAAGTAGGAATAAATACCAGTTAAATTTCCTGTGAGGACAGCATTGGGCAAAATGTAGCATAGCACTGACAACAGAAATGCCTGTCCTTCACACATTTGTGGCAGAAGTAATTCTGCAACAGCACTTCCAATTTCATCCACACTTGGGATTGCAATCTTGGTTGTTGAGCAAAGTGGTCATTAGCAACAAGCCCATGTGACTGTGTCATTCAAAGACTCCCAGTTGCAGACATTAAGCAATTTCCCAGATCAGTGTGAAGTAGAAGTCCTCTTGGCAGGCAGCCCTTTTGCTCCCAAAAGTTTTTGCAGCTCACGGAAGGACTTTAGCTCTACTCCCTGTACAGAGAATTCCTTTGTGAGGCTGCAGGAACAGAAATGAAATCTTCAGGATATCATGATGTTCAGAATTTCAGCACCATTCCTGCAGCCCAGATGAGAATTTCAGCTTTTCTCTGTCCCCTCTGCTTGCAACCTTCCCTGCCTCCTTTCCAAATTCACTTTCTGGGGAAACTGGCATGGAATTTTGCAAATGGTAATAACATGATTGTGGGAAACTTTTATTTCATATAGCTTTAGAGGCTATAAAGTCCCTTTTCCCAGCTGTTGTAACTTTGAATGGTCATTAAACAACTGTAAATCCTTGTAAATCAGGGATTAGTTGTACCTTATATAAAGATCAGATAATAGTTTCTGAATCAGAACATTTTAGCATAATGAGAGATAGACTTTTGCGTACTCACTAAAGTGAAAAGCTCCTAAGAGTTTACCGATGTTGCATGACCACTCTTGTTTCTATATGACTGAAGCCAATCTTGTTTTTTGCATTAGGAAAGCCTCAGTTCCCAAAGAATTGTGAGAGACTAATAGAAGACTTAGTTTTAAAATTCCTTCTGTTGCATCACTTATTGATCAGAATAGAGAATTTACTTCTCAGAATGGAAAATCAGAAATAGAGTAATTAATTACTTAATTTCAATTAAATAATATTTTTTATTCCAAGCAAAACTCAATAAATAAGAATGATGATAAGCAAATGATGGATATGATTGAATATGACACAAACTCATTCTCTATAATTTTCATGACACTAATTGTCTACTGAGCAGCACTATCAGCTGCAGAAGAACATTGCTTTCTTGATTTTTTATGCCCCATCATAGAGAATTGTTTGTGGTTCTCATTAGCTACTTAAGGTATCTTTGAGGCAGTTTTTGAAAAACACTAAAACATATCCTCTACACTAATATTCCAAATTAAACTCAGAGTTTACATTGAAACAAAATTGAGATATCTATCTTTCTGCATACATTTGCTCTCAGTGTAAAGGTTGCCAAAAATTAAGGGGTTTGTTTGTTTGTTTGTTTTACTTTCTGGGAGAAGCAGGCAAATTTTTTTGAATTACAGAGTTTCAAGAATATTGGCCAGATAGCAAATCCATTTAAAGTTACATCAGTGTTGATCATCTCAATGTCTGTGCACTTTTTCAAAATGCTAGAGGGATAGAACAAATTTACTTTTAAATAAGCAAGTAGGGGGAAATGACAACATTATTTTCTTGTATATCTTTTATATCTCTCTTTAAAATTTCTTATTTCTTGTAATACTGTAGCTGAACTCAGGAAAACGGTTGAGATCCTGGCATGTTCCGACTAAAGTTGAGTTAGCCATAGTTCCAACACAATAGGAGATCTCTTCCTCTAGCCTATGCTCACAAAGGATTTCCCATAAGGTGGAAAAACTGTAAGGAGACCAGGGGTTGGGGTTCAGGGAAACTAGAAGAATCTGCTACTGATCAATACTTTTGTTTTCTTTCATGGAAGATTGACATTTGTGAATTAGGTCAGACTTGAGTGTACTATTAAAGCAAGGCTTGATATGGTATTTATTTTCAAATAGCCAAGTTTCAAATTGTGTATCTTCAAATTTATTTTAAAGACTGAACTGATTTGCAAATCCGAAACCCTTCAAAATATTCTCAGTTTTATATGAAATGTGTCCCATATTTGCCAGTTCTATTAATTACATACTCAAAAGCTCCCTATGGAGGTTTTATTTCTGTAGCTGCAATTTCAGGCATTATAAGCTGGAAATCTTTCCCATTGAATCAACGGATCTTCTTTCTAGCAGAGTAAACTATATATATGAAACTATATATATACATACATACATATACATATACATATACATATACATATACATATAGAGATAGAGATATGCATATGCATATGCATATACATACATGCATACATACATACATACATACATACATACATACATACATATATATATATATGAGAAGTGTAATGGTAAAACTTAGATGCAGTACTTATTTCTTTTTATCCTTTTTTATATACACAAAAAAGGGCATTTGAAGAAACCACATTGACTTTAATCAACCATTGTAATACAGTAATATAAATGCTATCATCTGAACCTTATCTAAATTTGTACTGCAGTTTTTGGTTGGTTGAAAAAGTAAGGCTGTGTTTCCTTTGTGACATCACAACATCCATATCATAGGACAAACAGAAGTAGCAGCTTAGGCTCTGAACTGGGACAAACATGTATTAGGTTTGTCTTCCTCATCTTAAATTTCATGGTGTGTGTCCCAGAATTAAACATGTTTCTTGCATGATTAAACTGTTAATCGAACTCCAAGGGACAGGGTGAAGTCATGATCCAGGTTTATTGTTCAGATGGAAGAATTATTATGCTTTCAGGTAAGTCATCAGTAAAGGCATTTTCCCATTATTTAATAGCTGTGGATCACTGATATATGATTCAATCAGATGTATCTATTATGTGGAAGAGTGGGTGGGTAGATGGGTAGATGGGACCAGTAGTAAACTGAGAAAATATTATGCAAACAGCTTGTAATTAATATATCCTGCAAATACTGACAGCTACACTATTTTATTTTATTTTTCTTTTAATATATTTACCAATACTTTTTAAATGTTACTTAAGGATTTAATTTGATAATAATGTAGCCAAACTGATAATAGATACTTCCTTGCAAACCATGGAATGTTTGGCCAAACTGGACCTTGGAAATAATTCCATGTGTAAGGAACTCCATCAGATCTCTAAGAAACGTATGTTGCAAACCATGCTATCTGCTGCAGTTGTGTTCTTTGAATTTGACTGCAAGCAATGAACTGGTGATGATTAATACAATAGGATATGTTAAGCTAGGCACAGGTATTCAGATTGCACATAAGATGATTAAAGGGGTGAGAAAAGGATGCATACATGCTGCTCCTCTGTATCATCTTGACTCTCTTCCCAACCTTCCTTTGATGATGATGAAGATCTTAGGACTATTATGTTTGACTCACCTGAACACCATGGAAAACATACATGGAGCCAGAAATTATAGAAGCATTTTCCATGCTTCCCCAGCTCAGAGTAAGAAGTTTGGAAACTGTTCAGTGAGGGATGTTACACTCACGTCTTGCATGTTGACTCATGCCCACATTGTCCTTTTCAACTACAGAGGAGTAGACTGAATATACATGCAGGGATTTTCTTATATGTACAAATTCTACATTCCGTGCTGCTAACCAAAAGAATGGAATATAACAGTTGGGCTATGTATTTATTCACTGTTTCTTTAACTACGGTTTTTTTAATGTTTGTAAATTGGTTTATGGGCAAACCATTTAAATAACAGATAACACAATGGAAATAAAAGCCATCATTTCAGTGTCCTATTCTTTTATTTTAATAGAAATAAAGTCTTGCCCTCCTTTGTAATATTATTCCAAGAAGATGCAGTACATACACATAGGAAGTGGTTTTAAGTCATGACAAATATTACTGGTGCTGATATGTTTAAAAAGGTGATGGCCAATGATTTCAGATTATTGCTAATTGTTTGAATATAATGTTGTTAATACCACATCATTCAAACCTCATAATTTTCTTTGCAATCTCTGATGGTAACATTTTTAGAGAACATTATGAAGTGTTATTCTTTAATTTTCCAGTTGCAATTTATTTTTTAATTAGCAAAAGTTGGGCCAGTAATTAGTTCATTATAAATATTGCATGGCAATTTAAACTGAAAATGTTAAAGGTTAATTTGAAGTTATGATTTTCAAATGTTAACCCTTTTCCCCTTATTTTCTAATAGCTGCTGGTGGTGAAATAAACCAGACGCCTGGGGTGTTTAAGCAAGCAAAGGAAAAACTTTCGGTGGGTGAATTTGCCTTTATGTGTTTTATATGTCTGCGTATTTTGAATATTTGGTGGTTTTATTACCATAAATAACTTTAAAAACCATTTGACAATTTTAAACAAATAGTTTCTTTTTTACTCACTTTGAAATTAATCATAGGATCTTAAAATATTCTAATTGCTGTACTGTGTAAAATTACATATTGACAGAAATATATTAAGTTTTCTATTTTATGTTCTAGTCAATCAGATGCAATTCTGAGAACTTCATGGCACTACTTTCAATCTATCAGTCTGATTCATTCTTGTAAGAGAAAATATTAGAATCTATATCTCATCTGCTTTCTGTATGTTTAAAAGCCAATGGCAGCTGCTCTGCCTGAAAAAAAAAAGGGGGGGGGAATCCAAAGTTCAGCCAATACACTGAAGCTGGGACTGAATGCTAATCAGCTAGATAAGCAAATTGACACCAGCACACTCTGGTCAGGGCCCCTGAATTACAAGGCAGCTGAAAGTCTGGCTGCATGGACTCTCAAGGCATTAAGCAAAATCTAGACGAAAATATAATAAAACTAGTGCTGTCATAGCCTCAAGATGCAAAGAAAACCTGTTTTCATGAGCATAAAATAGGAAATCAGCACAATGAACCACCACCAGCAGAACAGAACAATATCTTTATCACCCATTGTTAACCATTACAAAGGAAGGAATCATTGCACAAATATGTTTGACTGCACTTTACCAGATGTGATAGGTACCATTCATAGTACTTTGCTTTCCATGTTTATCCTTTGTTCAAGATCACAAATTCAGTTGACTGGTGACTTACAACTGGGAGGTTCTATGAAGTGCCATCTTTTCTTTTTGCTTCCTTTCTCCCCTTTCCTGCGAAGAGAAAGATGGGAGGAGCAGAATGTTTCTCTTAAACCATACTTATTCTAACAGGAAATGCAGGATGAAAAAGGATGTGGCCAAAGTTGAAATGCTTTCCAATTCTTTATATTTATTTCCTCAGACATATATTCTGTTTTAGTCTATAGGGAAGAAATATCCCCTCTGATTTAAATATACCTGTTATGAGTTTTGCAGCTGGAATCATACAACCGGATGAAGCAACTAAGTCCATCTTAGTGCAGAAATTGAAATCAAATAATAAGATATGATAAAACATAACCAAGGAAAGGGAGCCTATCAAATCCAAATCACCAGACCTTCTATCTGAGACCATTTAGATCATTCTACAAACAAAGCGCAGCCTTGTACAAATTGCATGTGGCCCTCAGAGCCTCATGAGAAGGCTGCACATGATTTGAACAAAGCTGACACAATTTGGACAAGGCTGCACATCCTGCCTCATGAAGAGCCAGGCTGGGCACATTTCCTCAGTGGGAGGAAGAAGATGGCAAAGAGCATCTGGGAGTGGTAGAGTCAGTGGAGCTAAGGGCAGCCAAAGGGACACAGATGATGTGTGTGTGGGGGGGGGGGGGAAGATGAAGGGAATTGAAGCACCCCTGCAGTTAAGTGAGTTGGCTACCCAAATTTTGATCCCATGGCTATAGAGGCATTGCAATGGCCATAATTTTGGGGACTGGGCATAATTACCATTTGTCTAGCTGCTTCAGAATAAACCAGATTGAGAAGAAAACTATAAAGAAAGGTAGAAAGAGATGGCTTCTCCCATACCCCAGATGTTATAAAAATTATATACCTCACATACTCATTTGCATGGGATGTGCAGATAATTGAATAAACATATGGCTGTCCTCAGTAGTGGGTTCCACTTACCTTTGCTACCGGTTCGGAACTGTGAGCTCAGCGCACAGCACTTCTGCGAATGCACAGAACCTTCTGCAGATGCGCAGAGCATCCATGATGACGTCCGGGCAAGTGGATAGAGCCTCCTGCCGCCACCACTACTGGTTCTCCCGAACCGGAGTGAACCTGTAGAAACCCACCACTGGCTGTCCTGTTCCCTTTTATCTAATATGCACATGTACATTTGCCTGTTTGTATTTAATACCTTTGCTCACCCACTGAAAGTATCTTTTTCCTTTTTATCCAGCAGCCACAGCTTTCCAGAATTCGATAGTGAAAGAATAGTAATTTGCATATGTAAATTTTAAAAAAATCATCTTACACTTCTGTTCAATTCCTGTCACTACTTGAAGTGATAATTTCAAGTAGCAAGCTTGCCCCCTGATTACCTTATCTGCTCTGAGCACAAGTATCTTAAGATGGCAGAGAGTCGATTAAGTAAAGGAGGTTATCTCTTTAATGATGTCTGTTTTAATAATTTTTTTATTGTTTTATTTTAATAATTATACACTGTGCAGAATCACTTTGTGTGAGATGGGCAGCTGTATAAATTTAATAAATAAAAAAATATCTCTCTCTAAAATAAAGCTGTCACTTGATGGTTACAATTCTTGGTCTGTGGCTGGGAGACTTGAGTTCAATGAACTTCATAGCATTTTTCTGAGAAAAATATTTATTGGATTAAACAGTTTCATAAACAATTTCTCAAACCTTATATCAGGGGTATCAAACTTGATTTCATTGAGAGCCGCATCAGAGTTGTGTTTGACTTCGGGGACGGGGGGCATGGCTAGGGTGGGCATGGTCAGCTTGATGTCACTCATGTCAGGAGCACCTCTGGCGGCCTGAGCGCTCTGCTAGCAAAAACAGGCTCCCAAGCTTCGTTTTCAGCTGCAATGGCGTCCTGCAACCCTCTGCCAGTGAAAATGGAGCTCAGGGAGCTCCGTTTTTGCTGGCAGAGGCACTACGGGCCAGTCCTTCACTGTTTCCAAGATAGCCCTGTGGGCCAGATCTAAGCTCCCCGCAGGCGGAATCTGCTCCCCGGGCCTTGAGTTTGACACCCCTGCCTTATATGCTCACTTGTTGCTTATAAACCCCAACATAATAATACTAATTGTGCCCATCAAATCCCATCCCTCTGTTCTGTTTTTCAGTACTTACTCTGTTTTTTGGCTTTATAGACTAACATAGCTATTCTTTTGGAAGTTATTCACATTGCATGTTTTTGGTGCCCAATTTATTTTCTTTAAATGTAATTCTAACCTAGTCCTTATACCTGTATGAATTTACAAAGGCCACATATATGAGTTTGATTTACTTTGATTTGTATATTTAAAACTGAAATGAAGAATAGCATATGGAATGCACCTGAGTGTGACTTCAGGTGAAAGGTTTCTGAATGGAAATTCATAATAAATTTTTTATTTAAAAAAAAAGACAAACAGTGCCTTCTGTATTTTGTTTTGCAATAGGAAAAGAATCAGCAAAAATGTTAATGATATCATAAGGTTTCCATAATTCGCTTTGTTAAAATTAGTTATGTGTGAAGACTTCGTAGGCAAGGACTATGTTCTCTCCAGTTTTAACAAGATATAGCGGTTTGTCTGTGACTGCTGCAGTTAATAATGTGTAATGCATAATGTTTTAATAGCAGTTTCAAAGCAATGTTGTCTACTAATATCCTAAATTTGAACTTAAAGTGCTTATTGACTTATTTTTCTGAGATCTAAAAAAACCTGTATCTTACAATAACATTATAAATAATATGAATATAGGCTGTATTTACCTAGAATGGAGTCAGTGCAAGTCTAGCCTCAGCCTGGTAACCGAAGGAATCCTAACTTGGATATCAATACTCTTTGGTGAATACTATAACTGAAATTCCAGTCTTAAAACCTGGAAAGATGCTAACAGTAAAAGTAGAAAAATAGAATGTTAGCATGGGCCAGTGATAGTGTAAATTAGCTTCAGAAAAAACCATGTCAACTTTTGAAAAATAGCCATTATATCATTCTTCTTCTTATGATTTGAACAATGAAATCACTTTAATGTATGCTTACTTTAATGTAATAACAATAATACAATACAATAATTATTTTTAAGGTTCTGATTTGAAATCTGTTTTCCATATTCCATACATTTTCTGTTTGTCTCATTGTTCATCTTCCTATTACATTCTTCTTTTTGTTTTCCTATAATTAGACTTCTTCTTTGTCAAAGATTCCTGCCTCAAAGGTTAGAGCAAAGTCATTGCTTCCTCCAAGACCCAACTCTGCTTGTTCACTAATCACCACTAAAAAAGTTGTTTTGCGCAGTAAAGACAATTATATTGCGTGGCCCTCTTCAGCGGGCCCAAGAGACTATTCAAAAACAGCTCAGGTAAGGCAGTTGAGGTAGAACAAGAATAAATTCCCACATCTTTATTTTTTTTCCCTTCACTATCAAATATGGATATCTCACCTTGATATCCTTTTTCCCAAATAAAAAAGAAATGCAGTATATAAGTTAGAAATATAATCAAATTGGTTCATAATATCAAAAGTTCCAGTGGGTCACTTCTCGTGGTTAGCTTATAAAGTCTATAAAAGGGAATTAATCTAGTCATTCCTCATCACAGATCACAAGTGATGAGAAAATTGATGAGAGAAAGTGGTGATGATCTATTCCCATAACTGTTTTTGAAAAACAGTACGAGAGAAGGTAAACAGGAAGAAATGCAAAGGCTGATTTACAGATTCTGGCAGGCAAAGCCAATTTCAGAATCCAAAGAAGTGCCAAGGGTAGAACTGTGTGAGATAGAGCTGAGTTGTGATGTCATATGATGTCAGAATCTGGTATTTGTTGCCTTGATAATGACTAGTATTAAAACTTAATTTACAGATGATAAAAATAAATTTGTTCAAAAAGCTTAATATATTATTTAATTCTATTCAATGTCTACAAATTTCATAAGATGCACATACTGTTAGTTGTCGTTTTATGAACATTCATTCGGCAAACCATTCAAAACTATGATAGCGCTGAGTGAAGGGACATACAATCCCTGCCTGAATTTACAACCATTGTAGCACCCCATGATCATGTGATCAAAATTCAAGTTCTTGGCAACTTTCCCACCCTTGGGAACACTGCAACTGCCCTCTCCCCCAACATGGGCTGGAGACCTCAGCTGCCTAGGCCCATTGGGATGCAGAAACCTGATGCTCACTGAAAGACTCAGGAGAGGGGGAAAAGGCAGAGACCTGCACACTCCTGAGCCTAGCTGCTTAAGGCTTCTTGGAATGCGGGAGGAAGTAGGAGGCCTGCATGATGTTGAGCCTGCCAGCATGCAGATTTCTGCATGCCAGCAGGTCATTTAATGACCTGGGCGGTTGCTTAATGACCACAATGGGAAGAGCTGGGATTGTGGTTGCTGAGCAAGGCAGCCACATGGGTATCTTCCTTAACAACCACAACGACTTAAGACCAACATTCTGGACTTAATTTTGATCATAAGTCGAGGACTACTTGTAGTAGGTTTAGGCCATTTGCTGCAATAGAAGAGCCCTTGCTTAAGAACTTTGGCTTTTACAAGTAATTTTTGTATGTTGAGAAGTCACTCTGCCCGTTTCCAAGTACCAAGTGAATGGTTGTTCTATTTAGCTTCAGATTGTATGTCTGTGTATGGATCTATGAATGTATGTTCACAGCAGAGACGCAATTTTTTTTTACTTTAAATGCAAATAAAATAAGGCTATTCTAATGCAGTCATAGCCAAATTAAGTCAACTTTCTGACCTCAACCTTGGAGTCTACCCTTTTTCCTCAACAGCTTCTGTACTATTGTACTGTACTACTGTAGTGTTGCTTTCCCTTTAATGGTTTAAATGCAAAGTTAGGCTGGAGCTGAATATACCAGTACATGTTTAAAACAAAAATGCTTCCTATTTTTTTTTGTATTAGGATGGAATAACCAAGAGTCCTGAAAAGCGCTCCTCTTTACCAAGACCTTCTTCCATTTTACCCGCCCGAAGAGGTATCTCAGCAGACAGAGAACGAGATGAAAATTCTTTCTCCCTGAACAGCACCATCTCATCCGTACGACGAACTACAAGTATGTCTCTTGCCCTATAATTCAGAGTTAAAGTTGGAAGCACAAGCTCAGGGTTCTCTAATCTATTTTGACTTAGTGGGCATTTTTGAAATTTTGAAAGCATTTTATAAATAATCTTACAACAATTATGCTACAATGAGCCCAGACAGTCTCAAAAATCCCCATTTATCAGAAGGCAAACTAGTACAATTCTAGAGCACTATTCCCTGTAACCTTATAAGATGCAATCTTAGCTTTTGGTTTAGACTAGTGGTGGGTTGCTACTGGTTCACCCCGGATTGGGTGAACTGGTAGCAGTGGGGGCAGGAGGCTCCGCCCACTCACCCGGACGCTTCTGTGCACGCACAGAAGTGGTGCGTGAGCATGCGTGCGCCCACGAGCGAATCGGTAGCGACGGGTTTTGAAACCTGCCCCACCTAGAGTCTATGCAGGACCCAGAAATGTTTCTGGAAATAAAAAAAATTGCATTAAAATGACACTTTTTTTGCAATATGCTAATCTCCCATTTAATTTTTTTAAACTAAAAGAATCCGATGAGATGAGATGAGACAAGACAAGATGAAATACAGAGTCTGTCTGGTTTCAAAAAAAATGTTTCTGGATGCATTGGTGGCCACACTGCCATGTTGAAGAAATACGTTTTAGACCAGAGATGATATCTAAATTAGATAGCAATCAGTTTCTGCTCAGCTGTGTTTCTATTGTAAGAGGAATGTATACTACCAGAGAAGAAGATCTGATAAAAAAATTCTAGGTATATTATAAAGTATGGGTTCTGTGTAATTGGATACTTTTTAAAAAGCTAGGAAAATTCTGTGTTTAGGAAAAAAGAAAAATTTAGCAGAAAAAAGGTAATCCCTGGACACATCCTAAGTTTCTATTTGTATAGTTTATATCAGTTCCTTGAAATATTTGATAGCAGAATTTTAAAATATATGGAAAAGAATGCCTTGCATTTTGTAATATATAATGTTTTTGATTTAAGGGAAAAAATTTCCAATTTATGAAGAGATTCTAAATTTTAAGCATAATCTTAATTTAGAGGTACAGGCAGGGCTATTGAATCTGGGCTGCAAAAATCCAGATATCCACTAATCATGAGTGTATCTTTTCGTATCATCAAATGACAGCCAGGTATTTGCAACCCAGAACTGGTAGTCATAGGGAGAGATGAAGCTAGAAGTAGGGAGCACATGGAGATACTGTTGAAGATCGAAATCTGCATTAAGCCTTAACTTTAACTCTCTTTTTCATTGATTTCTCCTTGGGGATCATTAAGCTATGAAAGATATAATTGCAAATATCCAATATTATTGATTTTTAACTTGCTTTAAATCCCAGCTGGTTTGTACTTCATGATAATCTTGTCATTTAGTATAATATTGTTCAATTTTAAGTCTCACCCTGATCCTCATAAAGTTTTAGCAAAGACTGAATATTTTTGTGATCAGGTTCTTTTATGAACAATTAGATGCCAGTTCTCTCTAGGAAATGGTATTAATATCATAGAACAAACAGAATTCTGTTATCAATACAGGATCAGAGCCTATTCGAAGCCGAACAGGAAAAAGTGGTACATCAACTCCAACTACTCCAGGATCAACTGCCATCACTCCTGGAACCCCACCTAGTTATTCCTCTCGAACCCCAGGAACACCTGGGACCCCTAGTTATTCCAGAACCCCACATACACCGGGTACTCCCACATCTGCAATTCTGGTACCCACTGAGAAAAAAGTTGCTATCATACGCACACCTCCGAAATCTCCAGCAACCCCTAAGCAACTTCGTCTGATTAATCAACCTCTACCAGATCTCAAGAATGTCAGGTCCAAAGTTGGGTCAACAGACAACATCAAGTATCAGCCTAAAGGGGGGCAGGTAAGGCTTTCATTTAAGTACATTTAAAAACAGGATTAGGGTAGAGAGAGTTGAGAAGAACAGGCAGTATTGACTTGTAGCTACCAAAGACATTCTTCATTAATTACTGTACACTTCTAATTCTATTCTAGTAGTAATTGACACCTAATTACTCACACTTCTTGTTCCATTCGTTTAGCATTTTTCCTAGCAGTATATTTGAATGTATAAGGTGTTAGTATTCTTTATTAGAAGAAAAGAAGCCAATTACTTCTGATAAAGTAGAAAGAAAATCTGCAGAATGGAAACTTCTAGAGGGTGAAGTTAACCACTTAAATGTTTTGGTTTATAATCTGACTTTATGATGATAAAGGGATAGCTTTGTGAAATACTTTGGTATAATTTGCCTAAGATGCAAATTTCTTGTGAAATTTTATTTTATTTTATTTTGTGGAATTGCTTTCAAATGAGGGCTACCAGATTGGAGCTGCAAATATCTGGACATTCCATAAATCGTAAAAATAGCAGAATGTGTATACATTAAGATCTCACTATTATTTATATTGAACGATCAAGTGTGCCTCGTTCATCAAAAATAATTCCATATTATGATGCCTGTTTTATTCAGCCTCTCAGAAAAATGTCATGCAGCTTCATATTACTATAATATCTTCTATCTGCCTGTTTGGGATGCTTTCATGCAATAATCCCTGCCTACTGCACAGAAGGATTAAGAAACTAAAAGAAGTATCTACTACTAGGAGAGTTCTGCTACAGTATCTGTAGAAGAATAGCTGCAGCAAACCTCCCAATACCCCAACTGGCTCAGTTTGAGAGTTGCATGTATACATTGCCTTCTTCCTGATCGGGTTACTTTCCTCAATTTCTGCTGGGAATGGAAAGCATAGTTGGTTAAAGAGCATTAAACACTCATGTGATGCCTTGAGATCATGCCTCAAAAGCTCTTGGGTCAGACTTTTAGCTTTTTCAGAGTTTTCTTACTTTCTGATTCTCCAGGTTCTAACTAGTTGATTTTATTGGTTTACAAATACAAACATCATTTGCTCTCTTATCTCAGATCTGTTCTTGAGCATTGAGATGAGAAATGAAGGTTCTTCACTAATTGTGGGGTGTGTGTGGCATTGATCTATATTTTAACATGTAGTAAATTTCTCTGTGAACTACAACGCAAACGTAGCCAAGCTTCATATAATTGGATTTTTCTATATGGCAAAACTAAGCTTGTCCTTGTTACTCTTCTTTCTCTGTCCAGTTATGTATTGGACCCTTAACATGTCTCTCAGTTGCTTTTACCCTTTCCCTTTCAGCCTTTATATCTCCTAATCCAATGTAATATATATTTAAATCAAGTCTAAATTCTTTCAAGGTATCATTATGTTTTTAATTTTTCAGAATTAAAATCAGTATATTTGTATTTTTGCAAGTTTAATAGAACAGAAAGTCAATTAATCTCTCCCTTCATGCCTTCAAACTGGCATATAGCTAAGTATCACAATTACTTACCTAAGTTTCCATTGATTGACAAATATCTTTTCCTCCTATCCACAAGGATAGAATAAAATAGTATGCCACAGCAGATGATCCACAATTATTTTGGTAGAAAATGTGGATAGCATACCATTGCTTAGATAATAAAGCATAAATCTGGATAGAAAAGTCCTCATTGGGTACCATAAAGCAGTTACAGTGGCATCTGCTCTTAAACATTTCTCTGAATGACTGTGGCCATAGCAACATGTTACTAAGGTGAGTGGGAGAGGAAGGAAGAAAGAAAATCAATTTTGAGCAATATTTAGACAAACATGAGGACATTGGAGCCTCTTTGAAGCTGCTCTTTTTTCTTGTGCACTATGGAATAATAAAAATGAACACAGAAACTAGGGAAAGGGTTGTATGATAATTGCCTCATACAAATAAAGTACCCCCTTAGGTTGCTAAATAAGCATTGTGGCAAATGTTAATGGTTAAAAAGTACTATAACCACATTAGAAGACCTACAGAAGGTTTGTGTGTGTGTGTGTGTGTGTGTGTGTGTGTGTGTGTGTATAAGTGTGTGTGCGCGCACACATGCACACGCACACACACACACACACACACACACACACATACAATTAGGGAGGGCCAGTCTCCATTTACATATAGCTGAAGAGATGACTCTACATAGCTGCAGAATTGACTATACCCTCCAACATGGTGATGGCAAGCAACAACAAGAGTGATAGCATCAAGGGCCAATCTGACATAAGCAGCAGAGGTGACAGTGAACTGGAAATAACCAATCTTGGTGTGCTGAAGAGACTGGACACCCAGGTATCAGTTTGGAGATAGATCAATGACATACCAAGACAACCAACCTGCATCCTCTAGCTGTCATGTGAGCTCTCTGGGATAGTGATCATTTTGGCCATCTCCTTCACTCTGCATTCTGGACATGAAAGTTTGAGGATCTTGAGTGTCCAGAGCCAAGTTTCCATGGCATCATTACATCTAAAAGACTAAGGAACAAACTAAACTAGTGATAAAGGTTTGAGGAGATGGGACTTTCTTGTCCCTTCTTAGGAGAGAGACGGAGAGGAGAGGAGAATCATTTCTGGTTCATTCTGTTGGTAAGGATATAAGAAGGGTTTTTATTTCTTTTTTCAAATTTTCACCAGGTACCTGGGTTGAGCCATGAGATGGTATAGTGGATGGATGGATGGATGGAAGGAAGTAGATAGACTGGCTGGCTAGGTTTTGGTTGCAGAGTGCTTTGCAGAAGCATCCCAGATCAGTCAGCTATTTTGAAGGCGCATGCAATTGAGTATACGATGGCTCCTTTGACCTGGGGAAGAAGCGATGGGTGATACGAAGGAAGTAAAGGCAAGCAGTGACATGATGGTGTGATGGGCATGGGGAGATGTCCGGCAGGAGATAGGGGTGGACCATTCTTGTTGAAAGCAGTCTTCATGCTTGGTAATGATGCTTCATTTCAGTCACTTGGGGGCCCACCCAGAGGCCTGGACTTTGGAGTTTTGGAAAAAGTACTTCTAGGCAATAAGAATTAACTTTCAAAAAAATTAAGTATCTGAGATAATGTGGTGATGCTTCCTCAGTATTAGATATCTTGGCTGTGACTTTCCTGGCTATTGAAATGAACTGCTTTTCTATGAACGGCTTCCACAATCAATTTGTGGAAATCAAGAGCATGCTGCTGGAGTTTCATAATATGAGCTAAAATAGCTATGACAAAAATAAAAAGCATAGAAGGGAGGAAAATCCACTATAAACTGATATGACAACTAACTGTCTAAAGAGAGAAGAGATGCTATTTTAGAGTGTCATTGGGAGATAAACTTGTTCCTTTTGCCAGAGGCATACACTAACCTAGGAATGCACTAACCCATGCACTTAGTCTGGAAATAGAGTAATATTTTCACAGCCCCAACAACTGGATGTGCTTACATAAAACAGTAAGAAGTTGTTTGTTAATAAATCAAAATATAGTATAGTTCTCATCAGAAGATAGTTACTTAATAAATCTGTTTAACCTATCTCTTGCTCTCAACCTATGCACACATATTGGTCTGCTTCTGTTAGTACTTTTATACAGCATAACTATCTGACAACAAAAAAATGGAAATTTTGAAAAAGCTTGAAATGGCTCACATGTCAACAGAAGACCTTAGACTTTATAATCGTGATCACGTACTATGAAGTAAGATGAGGTTTCCCCAATTGTTAACTGAAACAAAACAAAGGCATTTCAAGTTCTGTTACTTTTTTTTCTGAAATAAACTTCTGACCCTCCCAAAAAAAGGATGGCTATAACATGCAAAATGGCAAAGGAGAGAGGATCTATTGCCATCAATTTCTTATTCAGGAGAAAGGTATCTTTTGCTCACAGCCAAATCTACTGCTAGTCAGTTCATAAAGTCTCACTCTTACTTAATGTAATCACCAAAAGTTGCAGATAAAGAACTGCATTCTTAAATAGTTTAAGCACAAAAACTTCAGCCCTGTGGCTGCTGATAGTATCAGGGGAACAGTTCTAGCTTTTCTCTTTTGCTAATATTGTAATTTTTTATAATGTATGATTTAAGACAAAAAAACAAAATGAAGTATAATCCTACCACCAACATAGTTATGCATTCTAACAAAAGTCCAACCATCTTATTTTCATAATGGCATATCTCTGATGGTATGATGCACAGCAGAAAAGTAATACAGGAGTGGTCTGAGAAAAATGTGCCACTTCTGTTAATCTTCCTAGACAAACGTATCCTAATCCAATGACATTTTAATATTACTCACCATTACAAAAAATTAAGTAGTTTTATATAACAGAATTGGGCCTGGTTAGTAGTTGAATGGGAGATCACCAGAAGATATTTACTGCTGTGGTTTAGACTAGGAAGTTGAAAATACATCCCAGAAGGCATTGCCAAAATAAGGATGTATCTGTATAAATCATTGAGGGCCAAACTCAACATGAAGGCAACTTAAAAAAAAACAAAAACCAAGCACTTGTTATTCTTCTTCAGGGTGTGTTGGGCAAAAAGCAGCCTCTCCTTGTCAAATGTACAGTGTGGTTCTCTTTGCTGTGAATGATATGTTTCAGAAGAATCTAGTATGCTGTCCATCAGGAATGGGAAACATGGAGAGAAAGAGCCTTTGGGAGCTTAATGATTGGCAAGGAAGCCCAAAGAAAGTTAGGAGAGAAGTCTGCTGTACATACACAGCCCTTTTCTTCCCAGATCCCTCCCCCCACCAATCCCTCATTGGTTGCTATTTTTTCTTAATTATGATTGAAGAAATTGTGTAAAATATATTTCTGGTTTTAAATTACAAAGTTTTTAAATTATCAAACATATCCTACCACAGGAATATTCTTATGCTCTGTGGGCAGCTAGGTAACTGCTAGAGAACCCTTTGAAAACCACACACTTCAGCTGAGATATATTTCTCCTTATAGATCTCCTTAAAAAATAGAAAACAGAAAATAATTAGAACATTTATAATGT